TTTTAATCTGAGAATATAATAAAACTAGAATGACTTTTATAAAAATAATTCTAACCAAAGTATATACAAATACAGAAATCATGTAAGAGAGTTTATCTCAAGGTGTAGCACAAACGATTCCGGTTTTAATACAAAAAAAAGAAGAAGAATGTGCATAGTTGCAAGTATACATTTACGCAATACACTCGTTTAAAACATATGTATGTATGTATATATGTGTATGTATGTACAATTTCGATACTTGTTCACTGAAGGAAAGCAAATTATCCGTATGGCTGTGAAAAGTGAACTAGATTGTACCTAAGGTGCTTAGTAATATATCATCTTGTCAAATGTATATAAGTGAATAATAATATATAGATGTAAAGATAAAGTGTAAATTAAAAGAAATATTATCTTCTATAAGAGCTGATTAAAGATTCATCTTTTGAAATGTTGTATAATTCGATTTTTTAATAGAAAAATATACATTCTCTTCCTTTCTAATATATTTACTTTTCAAGTAAATGACCAAACAATATACACATATTGTACCTATTTAATTATACTATATAATTTACAAATATACTAAAAAGAATATTTTATTCATGACCTGACAAAAACTTTGACATAAAATCCTTTGGCTTTGGTTCTTCAGTTTCTTTCCAATAACGCATGAATGTTCCATCTGGTTTCCATTGAGCACAAACTTCCTGAAGTTCCATTTGCCCCTATCATAACATACTTAGTAATATATCTATCATAATATACATAAAATGAATATGAAAATATTATCTTTACCTTAACAAGTAACATATCAATTACTCTTAAATCACGTACATTAGCATGACGATAAAATTCTTCTCGCAATTTTTGCTGACACTCCTCTTTTGATACTGGGATAATATAATTAGCTTCTATAAAATAAATTAATTATATATAAGTACATAGGTTTCATAATTTTGTAATGGGAGCAACAGATGGAAGATTTTCATTAAATTATAAATCATTTAATTCTAAGTTATTTTTAACAAAATTGAAATAGACTGAATTGAAATAGAGAGAAAATTAATATAACTTATCTTTTATTAAAGAAAAATATTGCAGATTTGGTAAATGTTGAGGTTAGGTAACAAGATCTAAATGATTTTGAAGTAATAATGAAATACTTACTAATAAATGGAATTTGACGGTACCATGTTTTATATAATGTTATTACTCTCCTATGAGCTTCTATGTGAGTCAGTGATAAAATTGATTTTACTTGTTTTAAATTTGATGTTACAGGAGTAGCCATTTTTACAATTCACACATATCCTTTGTGCTACATTACCTTCATGATACCAACTTTTTCAATTATTACGTAAAGACATCGTAAGAATATTTAAAAATATATTTAAAATAAGAATAAAATACGACATTATATATACAATGTTCTTTATTATTAAGAGTAATTCGTTTTTATATACTTTTACTTGAATATTTTTTATTTCACTAGAAATTATTAAACTTGTATCAAGTTCATATTGTACAAAAACACAAGGATTATACATATATTATATATTGTTGAAAACAAAACTTCAATTGAGAAACATTTTTCAAATGACAACACGAAAGTCACATTTGTATATATAAGTTTGTAACACTGATGTTAGGTTTACATCATACAATAACTAACCGGTTAAAGGTGTTAATCTGTTCTTTGTATTACCGGTGATAAATATTGTGGTTAGTCCTATAATCCTAATTTCTCTGTATTTAGTACAATTGTAAGAAATTATTCCTTGTTTCAAAATATAATTAATATTAAAGCTTAGATAAAATAATTTTCTCTTTTGTTTTTGAATAGTAATTTATTATAATAAAAAATGGTAGTTAGACAGTATCAGGAAGAAATAAAATATTTGGAAAAGATAACTGAAACATGTTGGAGGATAAAAAAAGGTTTCCAACCTAATATGAAGGTAATCATTTATTAATAATTTATATATTTTTGTATTATATATCAAGTACTTTTTAATTCACAGGTTGAAGGTGTTTTTTATGTAAATAATAGTTTGGAACGTTTAATGTTTGATGAATTAAAAAATGCGTGCAGACCAGGAGCAGTAGGTGGCTTTCTCCCTGGTATGAAACAAATTGCCAATGTTGCTGCTCTTCCTGGAATCGTTTGGAGGTCTGTCGGATTGCCCGATGTACATTCTGGATATGGTTTTGCCATTGGTAATATGGCAGCATTTGATATGAATGATCCAAAATCTATAGTATCACCTGGTGGAGTAGGATTTGATATAAATTGTGGAGTACGTTTATTAAGAACTAATCTGTTTGAGGAGGATATTTTACCTGTGAAGGTATCATTTTTTATGAATTGTAATTTAATAAAATTACATCATAGGAATAAAAATAAACCAGTACTGTTTTCCAGGAGCAACTTGCCCAGAGCATGTTTGATCATATTCCTGTTGGTGTAGGTTCAAAAGGAATCATACCTATGAATGCAAGGGATTTAGAAGAAGCTTTGGAAATGGGAATGGATTGGTCTCTGAGAGAAGGTATTTTCAAGGAAGAGAAATATACTTCACTGTCACTATAATTACACTCTATATTTATCTTTAAACTTCCTACAGGTTATATCTGGGCAGAAGATAAGGAACATTGCGAGGAATATGGTAGAATGCTTAATGCAGATTCTTCTAAAGTATCAATGAGAGCTAAAAAACGTGGACTTCCACAGGTGAAATATTAAGAGTTTGTTTTTATCATGAACATACATGTATGATAGTGAATTTTTTATCATTTAATCTAATTGTCTTATAGCTAGGAACATTAGGCGCTGGAAACCACTATGCAGAAATTCAAGTGGTAGATGAAATTTATGACAAATGGGCAGCATGTAAAATGGGTATTGAAGAGAAGGGTCAAATTTGTGTGATGATTCATTCTGGTAGCAGAGGATTTGGGCATCAAGTTGCAACTGGTAATATTTTATATACTTTTATTTATATAATAAACTCGTTTTCAGGAAGTGTATGTACATAAAAGTTTGTTATACTCTATAGATGCCCTTGTACAAATGGAGAAAGCCATGAAACGAGATAATATCGAAACTAATGATAGGCAGTTAGCTTGCGCTCATATAAAATCTCAAGAAGGTCAAGATTATTTGAAAGCTATGGCTGCTGCCGCGAATTTTGCATGGGTTAATAGAAGCTCTATGACATTCCTCAGTCGACAAGCATTTGCCAAACAATTCCAGCAATCTCCCGATGATTTAGATATGCATGTTATATACGATGTTTCTCATAATATTGCAAAAATAGAGGAACATATGATCGAAGGAAAACAGAAAACCCTTCTAGTACATAGAAAGGTAAAAATGAAAATAATGTCATTATATTTAAGATAGACATTTATATAATTGTATTTTTTATAGGGATCTACAAGAGCATTTCCACCTCATCATCCCTTGATTCCTGTAGATTACCAATTAACAGGTCAACCTGTTTTAATTGGTGGTACTATGGGAACTTGTAGTTATGTTCTTACCGGAACTGAACAGGCTATGAAAGAAACATTTGGATCCACGTGTCACGGGGCAGTAAGTCTTTTCTTTTTCTGAATGTTTTTTTTTTATTTATAAAATTATCTAATGTTATCTAAATTAAATATAATTTCTTTCAGGGTCGAGCTTTATCCAGAGCTAAGTCACGTAGAAATTTAGATTACACTGACGTATTAGAGAAATTAGAACGACAAGGAATATCGATTAGAGTCGCTTCACCTAAATTAGTTATGGAAGAAGCACCAGAGTCTTACAAAAATGTAACGGATGTCGTAAATACATGTCATGCTGCAGGCATTTCTCGGAAATGTATAAAATTAAGACCAATCGCAGTTATCAAAGGATAATTGTTCCTACATACATGCGTTATCTATGTAGGAATTTTGATTCGTCTCTCTCCCGTTTTTCATGGAAAAATCAAAGTTGCATGATGACTTGAATTACTAGTAAATATATGAGAAATGATTCAGTACAACTAAACATACAAAACAATTTAACGTAAATGACTTGATATTACAGACATTCTCGGGATAAACTAAGATTTTGAATAATCATGTTTTCTGTAACTTGTTATAAATAGTTACATTCTTATTAGCAAATTAAATGTTAGTTAATTCTTATTAGCAAATTAAATGTTGATTATGATCGAATTTCTGCGTTCAAAGATTATTAGAATCATTTAATAATTGCATCAGATCTGTTTATTAAAAAAACATAATTTAAGCGATGTAAGTGATAATATGAAATATTATCTACTAAGATATCGGCTATCGTCCATCTTTTGTAAATTATGTAAATTTTGCGGAAATATATAATTATAAAAGTGTATAACACTTTTAACAATATTTTGATATGACTACTTTTAGCATGTGTTTTGCTATGTTCTTTTTCATCCAAAAAAATATGGTGTAATAAATAAGATTATTTTAAAAATATTACATTAGCATTTTATTAGATAAAATGTACAGTTACCTACACACGAAGTAAGAAAGCTATATTAGACTAATTCGTTCGACTTTACACGGGAATTAAATTCGCTGTGTTACGCTTGACAAATCTTCCAGTGACTACAGGAAGAGGAGAATAAAGTTAAAGACAAGAGAATACGACGGAAGACAGAGTTTTATCAAATTGTGTAGATAATGGAAGCAAACCATCACCATAAATAGTAAACGTTTCTCTCTCGTACACGTTCTGTTTCTATCTAACTATATATATATTTATATGTATAACTCGATTCAGAGTGCTCGTATGTATCGATTGAACGTGTAATACGCTCGGTATGAACCCTCGAGAGGAAAGATTCTAGTCACTGGAGGAGTCGTTAAAAGAAATACATGACTGACCATACAAGAAGAAAAAGAAAAGAGTAATATGGTCTGTACTGCATTTCATTGAGAATTAAAAAATTAAGTTATAAAATAATAATTATCCTAGAGTAATTATGATAGGTGATAGTCAGGAGATGGTTCAGCTACAGATTCGGTAGTGAACAATGGATTTGGGAACTCTGGTGGGTGTGGCAGTGGTCCAGCAGTCTTTGGCTGACGACGATACGCCATTAGCCAGCACGATACAGCAATAGCTACAGCAACTAATGCCAAGAGTGCCGTAATTACTAGCGCTATCACAAAGCCGACCATAGAAACGCAAATGTCTTCCACTTTCTGAGCTGAAGTAACTGAAACAGATCATGAAGAAGATCATGTTTTAATTCAGTGATGAAGAGCTAATAGACAAATTGGAAATTAATTACTTAAAAGGAATATCTACAAGAATTAAAACTGACTCAGTCTCTTTGTCACTTCTCTAATTGAAAACTTACTTTCAGCTGGATCTGCTGTGAACCTTTCTTCTCTCCTCTCCAGAGTGAATATAAGATTCGACTGGATCGTTATTTCTTCTCGAAGTTGCCCTTCGAAGTTGTCCGTGACACTTAAGGACGTATCATTTGTCTCGGAACTCACGTCTCGACGGCGACGACCGAAAGCATTGTATCCTCGACAATTGACCTGGAAGAAACATATCGATATATCAACATCCAATTCAATACCTTAATATACCAATTAGTTATTTCAATGTTAGAAGAACACGCACAGGTTGACAGCGTCCAAAGCACACGCGAATATTGCACTGGAATCGAATATTGTCGCTACTTGGGAATTTGAAAGCATTAAAGCTGGCCATTAACGTTTGAGTTTCAGGATTCTGCTCCCATTCTCCGAATATCGTTGGATCTGTCGCACAGCCGTTTTCATCTGTTACGATGTACTCATTCTCCAAGTTGTCTTCCATCGTTTTAGCCACGCAATTTCGAGCAAATCCACCGTAAATAGTGGAAGGCTGAACCTCGACTTGCAACATCAAGTTATCTCCAATTTCGGCAGAGTTTATTTCATTTCCGTTTTGAGTAACGATCTTCATTAGACAGACTGGTGGAGGACCAGTGTTGGCAATGGTACCAGCTGTAGTTAACATCGAGACGTTGAAACCGAGGGTGACGTTTTGTTCTCCAGTTTGATATATGCATTTAATATGGTACGCTTGAGTCTTGTATGTCATTAATTTTGGATGCTTTTGTATGACCAGTACGAAGCTTGCTTGTCCATTTACATGTATCAGTCCGCAATTTCCAAACGCCACCTTGAATATCTCGGTTTTGTGCATAGTTTCTGCTGGAATGGAGACAACCCTTCTGCACTGTTCATCCTTGCTGTGCCCTTTCACATACAGGACACCGTCGAATTCCTGATCGTGAAGGTGTATTTCAACTTGCACTCCATCCGACAAACAACTGACAACCATCTCTGGCCTAGGGAAATCGGTTCGCCACCGATTTTTGTCGTAACACTGAGTATAAGCATTTCCAATATAACCATTGATACATATGCAGATGGCTTGATGACGAGTAGCATTGCAGAGTGCATAAAGGCCACATAATTGAGTCAAACAAGGATCTTCGCATGTCTGACTCGTCTTATCGCAGAATCTATTATCCGCACAATCGTCGTCGTGTTTGCACTCGATTATATCAACTAATTTGCAGTATCCATTCGCGTCCAGCCTGTATCCATGTTGAGTTGGACACACGCAGCGACCATATTCGTCGATGATCATACCGTTCTCCAAAGCACATACACAGTATCCTTCATCGTTGATAATCATTCCAGATTGTTTCCTACACGGTATACACACTTCTGTCTCGTCCTTAGCTGATCCAGGTGGGCAGACACAATTGCCATACTCGTCGAGAATTTGACCCTCCTCCACTGGACATACAGTTTTAGTTTTGTCACAGCGAACGACTGCGTTTCCTCTGTACCCAGGAATGCATTCACAAATCATGGTTCTTACAGGAGATGTATCGAGCACTTTGCAATCTGCGTTTATTCCACAGGGTTCGATCTTCACGCAAGGATTGATGCACTCGCCGTTGAAGCAGGCAGTCTGAGATGGACATTCGTTATCCGCTTTGCATTTCTCTGTTAATTTAGTACATCCTAGTTTAGTGTCTCCAATGTAACCAGATGGACAAGTACACTCAACAATATGATTATAGACGTTGCAATCCATATTCCCGGTGCAAGGATTCACTGCGCAAGGGTTCTCGCAGCGATCGTTCATACAAGCTTTATTCGTAGGGCAATCAGAATTACTCTTGCAACCAAGGAGGACGCAAGAGACTCTTGCATTGCCACCGTATCCTGGTGGACATTCACAGATCGCTTTATGATTAATACCATTGCATACAGCACCTTTTCCGCACGTGGACAACAATGGAGAACACACTGGGACACAGTTGTGCTGAACACACGCATGCGATCCGCTGCAATCATCATCTGCGCGACATCCGGCGACTTTAGTGCACGCCAAATCAGGATTACCATCGTATCCCAGTACACACGAGCAGATCGGCTTATGATTTGCGACGCTGCATTCCGCATTGGGACCGCAGGCGCAAGGATCCTTGCACACCGCGTTAATGCAAGACTTCTCCGAAGGACAATCGCTGTCTCTGGTACATTCTATCGCCACAATCGGTTTCGTCGGTCTACAAGTTCCGCTACCACTGCTCACGTATCCACTAGGGCAGACGCAAACCATCGTACGTACTGGATACGTTGGGAGAACCTTGCATTCAGATGGTTCGCTGCAAGGTTGTACAACAGTGCAAGGGTTCTGACACTTGTTATCGAAGCAAGCCAACAAATTAGGACAATCACTGTCCTCTGTACACTCTGGTCTCTCCTCTGGTTTACAAGCAATGTAAGGATTGCCAGTGTGATGAGCTGGACAACGACAAATTGGTAGATGATTGAAGACTCTGCATTCGGCTCGTGGCGAGCAAGGATTGCTGTGAACGCAGGGATTGATACACTGCATGTTGATGCAGGAATAATCTCCTGGACAGTCGCCGTTGCTGTAGCAACCGATCACTCTACAACGATCGGAAGGATTTCCATAATAGCCCTTGCGACATCGACAGTCGGCTTTGTGCTTGTTGGGGAAGCACTCCGCGTTCACTCCGCAGTTATCGGTGACCAGACAAGGATTCACGCAGTTGTTGTTCACGCAACTCTTGTCCAGGGCACATTCACTATCGCGTACGCATTCCACGGAGTAGCAAGCGATGTCTGGGTTGCCCTGATAGCCTTCGTCGCAGGAGCAGACCGGTTTGTGGTTTTGTACGTTGCACGCGGCGTTGGTACCGCAGTTGCACGGATTTCTGCATTGTCTGTTGATGCAGGCCTCTGTGTCGCTGCACTCGTCGTTCGTCGTGCAACTACCGGTTATCGCTATTTGAACTGGAAAATGAATTATATTTTTTATAAAGTTAGGGTTACAGATGCTTTTGTCTGTTATCAAATTTGGAATCAGATATTAAAAGCATCTTAAAATTTCGAAAGAAATAACAATTTCTTCTAGTAGATCTTACATGTTGTATTATTATTCATACTATTAAAATTTTAATTAATTATATTTGAAATTACAACATTCTTGTTTCTTAGAAGAATATACAAAGTTCATTTCAGAAGAGGTTCTATTTTTTCAATTACTTCAATTAAATTTCTATCCCATTGTTTTAATTATATTTCATTTTACATATATCATATTAAATTCTTTAGAATCACTTACTTGGTCTACAAACGCCATCAATATCAGTGGTCCAGCCCTCAGGACACGTGCACGTCATGGTTCTCACCGGAACAGTGTCCAAAACGTTACAACGTGCGTTCTGTAGACATGGTTTAATCACTGGACAAGGATCGATACATTTATTTTTAATGCACACCAATTTATCAGCGCAATCAATGTCGATTCTGCATTCCGGTTCGTCGAATTCTGTCGTGGGAACGTGTGTGCAATAGGAATATGGATTTCCAGCAGGAATATTCTCTGGACAACGACAGGTGGCTATGTGATCCTGGACATAACAAATTGCGTTTTGAGCACACGGTGAATCTTCCAAGCATGGACTAACGCAACGTCCACTGTAGCAGGCCAAATTTCGAGGACAATCATGATCAGCACTGCACTCTACTCTTTCACAATGCACTTCTGGATTGCCTAGATAGCCTGGACCGCAACGACAAATGGCACGATGGTTTTGACCGTAACATTCTGCGTTTATCGCACACTTGTTCTCCAGAATGCAAGGATTCACGCACTGGCCGTTGTAGCACGTAGCTGCGTTGTTGCATTCGCTATCCGATTCACAGTCCACTGGAACAGAGGGTTTTTCTGAAGTTGCAAAGAAGCAAAAGTGAGTTGATTATCGTTAATTCGATTAACTTACATTTGAAACAACCTAATTGAGGATTTCCGGAATAACCAGGCGGACAAACGCAAGATGGATAATGATCCACGACATTGCACTTGGCGTTTGAACCACAATTGCAAGGATTGATGCACAAGTTGTTCACGCAGGCAGCGTTACCCGCGCAATCGCTGTTCGAAGTACATTCGGCTACAATTCCAGCTGTAAAAGAACGTTGTAAATGAACGAGTTATTATACAGGAGAAAGTAATAAGAGATTATTCTCTCTATGTATTTGCTTATTATTAGGCTGCCAATTTTCATACAAATTCATATTTTTGTGAAAACATAGAAAGAAGGGATTAGATTATAATTGGTTCTGTACTTTGTATATTTTGTATACTCTTGTGCATTCTATGCATTTTTCTATAAATGCGTAAAAATCTGCAGTCTACTTGATTACTTTTATTAAATCCTGATGTCCGAATATTAATAAAAATCATTTATCATATCTATTATATTAATTTTCTCAAGTTTAAAAGGGCTTACGTGGGGCACAATTGGTTCTTGGATCACCAATGTAGCTGACAGGACATCTGCAGATCGGGCTGTGATTATTTACGTGACACAATGCATTTCTACCACACGGATCCCCGACGACGCAAGGATTCACGCAGAAGGAATTTATGCACTGTTTATCATTGGAACATTCGCTGTTAGTGTAGCATTCTGGGCGAACTGCTGGCAATGGCGATGGAACTGGAATACAAAATTTCGAAATTTGTAATAAGTACACGGATTTAGAATTTTAAGTGTTGAACAATTAGTTTACAACTGGCACATTTCTCTAGTGGTATTTATTAATGAAGGACAATAAGTATCCCACTATAATAGCTGATATTTGACTTTGAAGATTTTAAATACTGCCACTATGATGATTATAGTTTATATTTTAATATTATATCTAGAATTCTAAAATCTATGAAATTAAATCGAAATATGATGTGCAGAATTCTAAAATTTTCAAGAATTAAGATTCTACAGGCTGGAAAAATATCCGGGACTTACGTCTGCCACACTCGATGTAAGGATTGCCAGTAAATCCAGAGGCACATTGACAGATCCCAGTTGCCACGCATTGAGCATTCAGTCCACACTGGGTGGTGAGACAAGCTTCAATGCAAGTTCCACCCACACACTTATCAGAATCGTTACAGTCTTGATCTTGATGACATTGCACAACTAATATCGTACAAAAAGAAATAATTAATGTCGTAATAAAATGACGTAGTTTCAAGTGATAAAAATACTATACGATTATTAATTTTAGAATTAATATTAATTAGAAATTAAAATTATTAGAAATAATATTTACCGATTTTCTTGCACAACCCATTTATGTCGGTAATGGTGTTTGGAGGACAAGTGCAGATCATCGTTCGAAGAGGGACCGTGTTCAATACTTTGCATTCTTGTTCACCAGAGCACATACTGGAAGATAAGCAAGGATCTTGGCATTTTGAGTTGATGCACGCGAAGTATGCTGGACATTCGCTGTCTTCTCTGCACTCTGGTTCGATTGGTATACCTTGGAGAATAAGAGAATTATTTTTAATTTTTCCATCTATTTTACGTTCTTATGTAGATGTCAAAACATCATTCGTGTAAATTCATATTTTTATAATATCACGAAATGGAATCTTTACTTGCTAAATTGTTTTATATATCTGTTTTATTAATATATCTACATATCTATCTACAAAATAATTTTGCCAAGAAAAATATATTAATCACTCACCACTACACTCAACATATGGATTTCCAGTGGTTCCCAGAGGACAAGTGCACTTAGGTTGATGGTCTCTTGCGATGCATTTGGCAGTGTCGGCGCAAGTATCTTCCTCGCAAACTGGACGACAGACTCTATTCAACCTGTCGCAGGCTTCGTGATCCGCACAATCTTCGTTGTAATGACACACCGTGGAGATGCAGGCGATCTTTGGATCACCTTGGGTGCCTCGTGGACAGACACACTGTGCTCTGTGCGAGGCTGCGATGCATTCTGCTCCACGACCACACGCGACATCTCCAACCAGGCAAGGAGTGACACAGTTGTTGTTTCGACAGGTCTTATCATAGGGACAATCGTTATCTGATTTGCATTCAGCTATAAAGAAAGAAGAATAAATTTTTGCATTTCAAGGCGATAAACTTGGAAATTGGTGATAAAGTTAAAAATTCAGAACTATAAAAGTAGTAAAACTCTAAGATAGAGAAAATTGGAGAAAGATAATTTATAAAAATATTATGAAATATAAAGTTAATGAAATTTAATCTTCCAAAGTATACAAAATGATGAAGCCTTCAAAACTGTGAGGTAAAATTAAAAATTTTAAGGTATAAAATGAGTAAAATTTAAATAATTTATCCCAAACAATAGAATCCGTAATTCATTTTTATGATATTTTCCTAGTAATTTAAATTATTTATTTATAGCAATTAAATTATTGTGAAACATCCTGTGACGAACTTACGTTTGAAACATTGGACTTGAGGATCTCCTGCGAAATTCTGTTGACAGTGACAAGTCGGATGATGATTGACAGTGATACACTCCGCGTTCAGACCACATTGCGTGCTGACACATGGATTCTGACATAATTGATTAATGCAAGCCTCATTGGTCGCGCAATCTACGTTTGATGTACACTCTGGGAAGGAGTCAGTATCTACACAACAAAATTAAAACATTTTATAATTAATCATATAATTAATCATCAGCGACGTTAAATCTAATTATTTATCTTCTACACTGTAACAACTTTAATTACCTCTATAACAATTTACAAATGGATTGCCAACATTGCCACGCGAGCAATGACACTGTAGATGATGATTTTCGATAGAGCATTCCGCATTTGGCGCGCATGGATTGATAATGCACGGATTGATGCACTTTTCATTTAGACAGGCCATATTTGACAAACATTGAGAGTCAGATTTACAGACAGCCTCGATTTTCTTGTCCACTGGAGAAAAGAAGAACAGAATTATTATACGTAACTGCATATAATAATCATTCATGTTCAATTTTCACATTAGAAATACTAATCCAAGAAATCTTGACGATAAAGAAATAATTATTCTCTAAATTCTGAATTCTTCGTTATTTTATCGTTATTGAAAGATTGATTTTTAATTATATTAAACGTTGAATTTTTCTTGACTTGCCAGGGATACAAGCGACAGTTGCATCGCCAGCAAAGTTTTGCAAGCACTCGCAGACCATGGTCCTCATTGGCAAAGTGTCGACGACAGTACACTTCGCGCCAGCGATGCAAGGTTTAGTTTCGGTACATGGATCTTTGCAAACGCCATTGAAACAACCAAGTTTGCTGGGGCAGTCTCCATCTACTTGACACTGTGGCTGTTGTTCGATCGGTTCTAAAAACAAATTTTTTATTTATTAATCGTCATAGTATACAACCAATTAATCCTTTCACGACGTGCTAGATTTTAACAAAGTCGAACGACTTCTCTAGATATTTTGTAGAAATCTCATGAAGTTGAGGAGCTTAAATAGGTTGAGTTGTCTTCCTGAGAAATATAGTATTTTATTTTTAAAAAGTGAAATATTTCGTTTCATCAATTAACAAAAGAAGAATTTCTAATTACCCATTAGACACGAGGTATATGGATTACCCACGTAACCCGGAGGGCATCGACAAACAGGACGATGATTAATCACGAGACACTGCGCTGATGGTGGACAGTCGCAAGGATTTACGCATCTTGAATCACGACAAGCTAAAGATGATGAACAGTCGTTGTCACTGACGCATTCTGGTCTTTCACATGCTTGATACGGATTTCCTATGTATCCATCAGGACAGTAGCATCTTGGTCTGTGATATCCGTCTGATTTGCAGAATGCATTGATACCGCACTGTGTCACAGAGCAGGCGTCTATACACTCGTTGTTGATGCACGACTGAGTCAGTGGACAGTCACTATCGCCACGACAACCAACTGCAACAATAATTCATGTCGATGAAAATATAGGAACTAGTATTCGTAGATTGGAAATTAATTTCAGATATAAAAGTAAATTAAATTAATAAAATAACAATAAAAGTATGTGAAATACTTTAACATAAATAAATATAAAGTATGTAAAGAAATTGTGAAATTGATACTTATTATATTGATAATATAGAAATGATTGACTCGTATAAAAAAATATTTGCAGAACGTACTTTCGCCGCAATATTGTTGAGGATTGCCAGTGAAACCTTCGTTGCAGACACAGACAGCACGATGCATTTGCACATGGCAACGACTGTTAAAGCCACAGGAGTCCAGTGTGCAAGGATCGACACATCTTTGATTATAGCAGGTCTTGTCATTCGGACATTCAGAGTTTTGAGTACACTCTGGAATTGGCTCTGGAAAGTAAATGAAGTGTAAGTATTTCAACTTCCTTCCTTCCTTGTTACAAATATTTCTTTCATTTGACAAAAAAATCATTCTGACGGATTTGATAATTCTTCAATGACAAAATCACTGTAATCTATTTATTTTTCAACGTTAAATAATATTTAAATTGTGAAAATAATTAATAATACTTCGACAAATTACCTTCAATCGTTGGAACGGTGCACTGTATACGAGCGTTGCCAGTGAATCCAGGCGGACACGAGCAGACAGGCTTGTGGTTCACCGTCTGGCACAGTGAATTAATTCCACAGGCACCGATGCATGGGTCTCTGCATTTCTGTGCGAAGCAAGCCTTATCTCGTGGACAATCAGAGTTAATAACACATTCTGGATAAATGCATACTGCAATGCCGTTTCTCACTTTGCATTCGCCATTGTAGCTACACGGAGATGGATTGCAAGGATCGGTTTCTGAAACAATTAAATCAATTTTCACTCGACTAATTCGAGAATTATTTTGTGGCAATTAGTAAAGTAATTTTATTATTAGAATATTACTATTATTATTAAACTTTCTGATGTGTTATTAAATTAATAAAAATTCGTGAGCAATTAAACTGAAACAAGATCAAGTTGAGGATCTCAAAATTACCAATTTTCGTGTAACATTCTTCAAACGGATTTCCAATTAACGGAGATGCGCAGCTGCAGAGAGGACTATGGTTGATAGCTTGACATGTGGCCTTGATACCACACACATTCTGCGTGCAAGGATTTATGCATTTATTGCCGATGCAAGCCTTGTCTCCTGGACAGTCAGAACTAATCACACACTCTGGATGACAACCTGTAATGCTCGAAGGAACTCCTTGAAGGCCAGGTAGACATTTGCAGACTGCAGTATTGCCGATCTTTTCGCAGATAGTGTTGGGTCCACACGGAGATGGAGAACAAGGATCTTTTTCTCTCGGTACTGTAAGTAATAAATTCAAATAAAGAACGAAAAATTACTTGAAATTATTTATAACTGATAATATTATAGTACCGGAAAAATTTTCTAGAAATTTTCCATTCCTCTTATTGTTCTTTTAAATTTATTAAGAATTCTATGTAACATTATATTATAACATTACATAATTCTGTATAAGGAAATTTAAGAAACTTAGCAAACGGTTAATCTTGTATATTTTTATAAAGATCAAATACCTTCAGGAACAGCTTGACAAATAGTGAACGCGTTTCCAATAGTAGGTGCCGGACACGAGCAAATTGGAATGTGATTGGACACGGTACAGATAGCTCCAACTCCACAAGTACCAGGACAAGGATCCTGACACTTGGTCCTGATACAAGCCTGCGATTTCGGGCAATCGGTATTTACCAGACACTCTGGCTGACAGCTTTCGTACGGATTTCCTCTGAAATCTGGCAGACACTCGCAATACGCGGTGTTGTCTCTCTCTCTGCAATACGCGTTGATTCCACACGGTGAAGGATTGCACGGTCTCGAAGGTGTTGATGGTTCTGGAGTTGCTAAAATAAAATGTAAAACACGAAAAAAATGAACATCCTCTTCAAAATAATACATCAGTTAGTATTTTACAAGAAGAAGTTTGCATGATCGTGAAAGAGAGTTAATTTACAAAGAACAAAGAGTAACAATTTGAAGATCGTGGAAAGAAGAGAGAATGAAGAACGTGTATGAACAAAGCTTTGAAATCTTGATAATATAGAGAGCTGATAATAGTATTTATAATCAACATGCAGTTCTTTCTATGTATGTTGTACTATTCTTATGTACAATATGTACAAACTAAAGAAATGAAAATGAATTAATAAAATTCAATAAAATCATTACTAACGATAAATGATAAATAAATTGCGGATATTTATACAAATCATAATTTTATAAATATTTAAAAATTATTTATGTTATTAAATATTACAACTAGTATTTACTATATTTTAAATATTTTACGTTTTTGAATGTAATGTGCATTATTGCATTTTCACGTTTCTCATTAATGCATAAAAATCCGCAGTATAATAATAATAATAATAATAATAATAATAATTAAAACAAACAATATATAATAGTCTTAATAATCTTATCTCGAATAAATAAAAAGTAATTCATCAACAATAATTCGTCAAATAATCGTAAAACAAAATGTCTCTAATAAATGAAAAGAAACAAATGAAAATTTGCAAGACTTCATCTCTCATTCTTGATGGCTCGACAAAGTTTCACAATTCGATTATTCCTTAAACACGGGGTTATTCCTTACTCTTGGCCACGGAACAAACAGTGAACGGGTCTCCGGTGTATCCCTCGGGACACACACAACGGATGTAATGCAGGGTAACTTGGCAGAGAGCGTTAGAGCCGCAGAGTCCTGTACAAGGATCAGTACACTTCTGTCTAACGCAAGCTTGATTGCTGGGACATTCGCTGTTCACAAGACATTCTGGTCTACAATTGGGAGGAGAGCTTATAAATTCAGGCATACAAGCACAGGAGGCCTTATTATCTGGTGACACTGTGCATTGGGAGTTTGGTCCACACGGCGAGGGTTTGCATGGGTCCTGGCTAGGTTCTTCGTACTGCGTTTCTGTTCGTTGATAAAAATTTGTCCACGGTTAAAAATTTATGCATGATTCTCGTGGATTTTTGGTGCAGTATTTTGAAACAGAAATCGGTGCTATTTGAAATTTACTGTATTAAATAGTATTTGAGTTTGTCCTTTATTTTACAAATTGACTGTTTTGTTTTGAATGAGAGATTTGTGACAGGGTGATAGAATAATTAAATAATTAATAATTGGTAATAGCAGGGTTCAAAGGGAAATGATAATTGGTAATAATAAGATTCAAACAGATTCTTTATAGAGAATCTCTAAAATTAAAAATCTAAAGAATCTAAAGAATCTATAAAAATTAAAAAGTTAAGGAAAGTACCATCAAAGAATCATTTCATTAAAAGTAAAAATGAGACAAAATTATGATGAAGATAGGAGGAAAATTTAACTTCTATTTATTTAAAAATTATAGGGAGAGTCTGTAAATATTAAAAATACTCAAAAAGGCAGAAGATCATGAATTTTAGAGACAGCACCGATCGAAATACACATTGGTGGGTTACTTACTCATGGGGAAACAGTTGACAAACGGGTCACCGGAATATTGTGCGGGGCAACTGCAAATGGGATTATGATTTCTCACGTTACACAACGCGCCTTGACCACAAACGTTTTCACACGGGTTTTGGCAGCGTTCGTTCACGCAAGCTCTACTCTGTTCGCAGTCAGAATTCACCAAACATTCGGGTCTACAGCTGGGTGATGTTCCAAAGTATCCAGGGAGACAGGAACAAGAAGCTTGCTCGCCAAACTCGCGGCAAACACTGTTGGGTCCGCAGGGCGAGGGTTCACAAGGTTTCACGCGTTCTATCGTAACGTGACACATAAAGTCATTCGTTAATCAATGATCAATGACATTTTTCACTGGTTAATGGAATTTTTGTAATGTTTCTTTGAAATTAATTAAGGGTTAATAAAGTGTTTCTTCCTAATCTCTTCCAAAATTAATTATCAAGAACTCGTAGGATTTATAAGATTTTTCTTCAATGTTAATCAAAGTAACTAACGGTACATGGGGATTTTTTTAAATTTATTAATAGGAGAGGTTGATAGAAGGTTTTCAAATTTAGTTAATAGAACTTCTACACTTTTCTTTGTAATCGATGAAAATTGTATTCGAGGGTTAATAGGACTTTTCAATTTCGGAATTAATTAATTCTAATTACACTCACTTTGAATCGGTTTGCACAGGGTAAATGAATCTCCTTCGTAGTTCTCCACGCAACTACAAGTGGGAATATGGTTAACTACAACGCACTCGGCATTCTGTCCACAGATTCCAATACAAGGGTCCACACACTTATTGTTGGAACAAGCTTTATCGAAAGTACAGTCTGAATTCTGAACACATTCCGGTCGACAACCTTGGTAAGGATCACCACGATATTCGTTTATGCAGCTGCATACGCCATTTCGACAAAGAGTGTTTGGTCCACAGGGCGATGGGTTGCACGGGTCTGATAGGACTGGGAGGATAGCTGCATTTGTTCCAGTGAAACCAGTTAATTATTAATTATAATTAATAATATACACATTAACAAGTTGGTTCCAAATTTTTATCTTTTGATAGTAAATGTCTCTTTATGGTACTAAAGATATGTTCAAATATATTGTAATAATTTATAATAATATTTTCAAATAATATATTATATATTATTGAAAATATATTATTTAAACATTTCATATAATGCATAGACTATAATATATATGATACTATTAAATCAAAAGTTTTAAGATAAACTTATTATATTTCTATTAAAACTGGAAAGATGAAATAGTACTTGTACAACAAAGATTTTAAAAAGTGTTGATACATTAATATTTCCAATTTTGAAACAAATATAGTCTTAATTCTTTTGAGTGGGAATATACGTAAAAGTTTTTATAATTTCAAATACTTTTCAAACATTTTTATGAGCCTTTGTAGATGAAATAATCAGTAATAATCCTTACGTGTGGGCATTGGACGACAACTAGTGAAGGGATCTCCGGTGTAATCTCTAGGACAAGTGCAAATAGGTGTATGATTAACCACATTGCAATATGCGTTCATTCCACAGGATCCTGGACATGGATCTCTACACTTTTCTCTGATGCAAGCCTTATCACTGGTACAGTCTGAATTAATTGAACATTCTGGTCGACAGCTAGGGGCTGAACCAACATAATTGGGTAAACAGGAACATGATGGAATGCCTCCTATGTTTTGGCATTGAGAGAACGGGCCACAGGGCGATGGAACGCACGGGTTTACGGGCACAGGTGGACTTGGTGCTAAAATTCAAGAATTCCCTCGTAATTCAAAAAAAAAAAAAAAAAAAATGCAAATAAATAATTTACATACATATGTGTATATCACAGAAATATGTAATTTATCAAAAACTACTCTTCAAAAAAAAAAAAAAAAAAAATAGTATAACCAACTGGAGAGTAATTCTATATGTGAAAATAAGAAGAAAAGAAAGAATAATAATTTTTCATTTAACGTTCCGTTTTTGAGAAAGTCGACTAGTTAATTTGGTTGATTTCGAATTGAAAAGAAATAATCAATCAATAGAAATAATTCTATGTATGAAAATAGATTAAAAATATAGAATAAAATTTTTCGTTTGAAGCCTTGTTTTCAAGCGTCTTATAAAAAATTTTATTTTCTATTTTTCACTTATTTTCGCAAGTAGAACAATCTTCTATCCATTATTCAGATCTTTCTAATTTCCAATTAGATAAATTCAAGATAAATTCATATGTGACAAATTTCCGAACTTGATTTTCTACGAAATGAAATTTGGAAAATCATTTCCTAGCCAATTATGCCATGCGACTATTCTCTCAAATGATTCACTATTTAATTCAAAAAGCACAATATTGGAGAGCTATTTTCTCAAATGATCCACTTACTGGTCATGTCAAAGCATTTTACGAACGGATCTCCCGTCTGACGAGCATCGCAGCTACAAATAGGACTATGATGGAAGACCTCGCATCTCGCGTTTATTCCACAAACTCCAGGACAGGGGTCAACGCATTTTTGATTCACACAAGCTCTGTTGCTAGCACATTCTGTACTAACTACACACTCTGGTCTACATCTCGGAGGTGTGCCTTTGAAATCAGGAAGGCAAGAGCAAGTGGTTTGACCGTTCACATCTCGACATCTACTATTTGGTCCGCAGGGTGAAGGTTCGCACGGATTTGTCGCACTTGGTGCAGCTAATATTGTCACAGTATTGTAATATTATTGTTCAATTATTTTAATTTAGCTTTACCAATTTATTAGTTATTATTTTGTTAGAGATAATGTAATACTTATTGAAAGATATTAAAGTTATTATATCATCATCATCAAATTCTGCATATTTTCTGAAATTTGTAAAATTTGAACTCACTAGGTTGTTTGAATACGTTGCAAAATCTGAACGGGTCACCGGTGTAACTTGAACTACAACTGCAGATTGGAATGTGATTGACCACTTGACAATCTGCGTTAAGGCCACAGGTTCCTGGACAAGGATCTTGACATTTGTTTCTTATACAAGCTCGATTGAATGGACAGTCGGTATTGATAATACATTCTGGTCTACAATTTTCGTATGGATTTCCGTAGAAGTCAGGTAAACAAGTGCATTGAGCTGTACCATATGATTCGCGACAAATGGCGTTTGGACCGCAGGGAGATGGCTGACAGGGGTTGAGTTTTTGTGGTATTGTATCTTCGACTATAAGTGATATAAAAGAATGAAATTAATTTCTTGTACATATGTTAAGTTCGAAGGATAAAAATTTCCAATGAAGATAGATAGATAATGCATTGATAAGTACTGATAATACATTGTGAAAACAACCTCTTTAATCAAACTCTTTAGTAATGCATTTTAGACATTTAAAAGTCTTCACAATGCATTCAATGCTAATTCATTTTGATTGTTCAAAAGGATTTACGATGCTGTACAAAGGCAATCAAAACAATCACAATTATATTCTGGTCATATTGAAAATGAATGATAAAGAATGAGAAGATCTTACTTGGTTGGGGTATACATTGCACGAACGGATTTCCAGTGAAATTGCTTGCACAAGTGCACATAGGAGTGTGACTAATAGTTCTGCACTCTGTGTTCCTGCCACAAGAGCCAGGACAAGGATCTATGCATTTCTGATTGATGCAAGCTTGCTGCGTTGGACATTCTGTATTACTGAGACACTCGGGCTTGCAGTATGGTGGGGTTCCTACGAATTCGGGCAGACAAGAACACGAGGGTGCGTTGTTGATCACTTGGCATTGAGCGCTTGGACCGCAAGGTGATGGCTGACAAGGATTTATCGGGACGTCTGGCTCTTTTGCTAAAAGAAAATTCCAATCTTAGAAGCATTATTTTTCAGAATATAAGTATTCAATAAATATAAGAATATACACTTTGATTTTTCAAGAATTTTGAATTTATAAATTTCAAGGGAAAGATTTTTGAAAAATCTCAAATTTATAAATTTCCAAGAAGAACCAGAATAAAAATATATTTTCGATGAGAAATATTTGGTTTGGTAAATAGATCTTACTTTTCGGGATACACTGAACAAATGGATCTCCTGTGTACTGTTCGAAACAGCTACACACAGGATTATGATTGATCACGGTACATTGAGCGGATAGTCCACAAGCACCGAGACAGGGATCGATGCATTTCTGATTACTGCAAGCTCTGTTACGTGAACAATCGGTGCTAACGACACACTCTGGTCTACAGAATGGTGGTGATCCCCTGAATCCAGTAACGCAACTGCAGACAGCTTGACTATTGAAGGGACGACAGTGACTGTTTGGGCCACAGGGTGATGGATTGCACGGATCAACTATGCTGGTTTCTGTATATTCAAAATATCAATAATAATGTGCTAATAAAGTTACCGATTTCTAAATTTAATATTTAATACACTCTAATAATTATTTTTAGTATTTAGTAACTATTTTATTTCGTCCATTCTATTATATTTTTCGGTTTCATATCCATTATGCAAGTGAAAAAAAATTCAGGGAAATAATTAAAAGGAAAGAAGTCGGGGAACCAACCTTGAACAGGCCTACACGAAACGAAAGCGTTGCCTGTCATGTTCCTAGGGCAACTGCACATAGGTAGATGATTGATGACGTTGCATTCTGCATTTATTCCACAAGTTCCTATACAGGGATTTCTGCATTTGTGCAAAAGACAAGCTTCGTTTCGAGAGCAATCGGTGTTGATAACGCATTCAGGGCGACAAATGGTATATGGATCGCCCAGATAACCAGACATGCAAGTGCATACGCCATCATTGCACTGTGCGTTTGGTCCACAAGGTGATGGGTTGCATGGGTCTGTTGGGGATTCTGGGACTGAAACAAGTTAATGTACTCCTTCTAGTATAACACTTACAAAATACACAATTGACTAGATTACTAGAAAGTATAATGCTGACTAGTACTTCTCTAGTTATAACTTGATATCAATATTAATCCCAGTGTTATTTCACTCAGAATAGAGACATTATTTGTCTTTTATCTACCACCGTGTATAATTATGGAAATTCCATTAGTATAATTAATAGAATCCATTAGGACTTACTGATTGGCGAAGGAATTGGCAAACAGATGATGAAAGGATCACCGGTGAATCCTTCGGAACAAGTACAAGTTGGTGTATGATTCACCACTGTACAACGTGCGTTCACGCCACAAGATCCTGGACAAGGATCTCTACACTTATCTCCAGTGCAAGCTTCATTTGCTGGACAATCTGAATTGATGGAACACTCTGATCGACAATTTGGTGGCATTCCGATGTAATTATTCATGCAAGTGCAGACTGGAGTCTCTCCAAGAGCCTTGCACATCGCGTTTGGACCACAGGGGGATGGAACGCACGGATCTTTTGGGTATTGTTCTTCTGGTTTTGGCACTATACAGTAAATATCGTTGGAATATGAGATACTAATGTTGTTCAATTGATAATGGAATTCTTAAATTTTTTCATATGGATCGAAAGAATATATTAAAGAAAAAATATACCATTCCATTTTGATTGAAATTAGAATTTGATAATTTGACTTACTACTACTATTATATTCGAAAAACTATCATAAATATGAAGTTAATAATAATAATTGATACTTAGACGAACAATCTTTTTTTTTATCTCACACTTTTATATACATTTCCTCGTTGATTTCCAATAAGAATTTCCAATTGTTTCGAGCCATGTTTCAAAATTCATAATTTTATCATCAATCGAATAACGTTCTTCACAAGTATATAAAATTATTAAAAACTTTTTTATAAAGTTTTTTTACGAAGAACAAGAATTTTGTTCTCATCTTACTTGGAGCAGGGAAACAATAGACGAACGGATCTCCTGTCGAATCGCTTCCGCAGCTACAAATTGGACTATGATGCACAACCTTGCACTGTGCATTGCGACCACAGGTACCAGAACAAGGATCTTTACACTTCTGATTAATACATGCGAGATTCGAGTTACATTCCGAATTTACAACACATTCTGGCCTACAGTTTGGTGGAGTTCCTACGTACTGAGGCAGGCAAGAGCATACTGCCTGATCATTTACATTCTGACATCGACTATTCGGACCGCAAGGCGATGATCGACATACATCTCGTTCTTCTTCAACTGTAAAGTTTTTAACTCCGTGGAACTTTTGTCTCCGTGTAAGAATAGAAAGAGAAATTGAAGATTGCGAGAGAAAAACCTGATATTCTATTGATTTTTTTTGTTTATGATGTTATTTTATGACTAGAAAAGTCATTAAAATAATATTTTAATAATTGAATTGCTGAGAAGACATATCTATTAGTCAATACCATAAATAAAAAGTTACAATTAGAAACGATTTCTAAAAGTATCTTTTTAAAAACTTCTTCTTTGTAAAAAATGAAAAATATAATTCATCACGTTTTTCTTTTTTGCACTCCTCAATTATTTCTATTATTTACTCACTCGTGGGAACTCTGTATACGCAGTTCACGTATGGATCGCCAGTGTATTGTGGGATACAAGTGCACACTGGTAGATTGTTCACGACTTGACAATTGGTATTGGAGCCACAAATACCAGGACAAGGATTTTGACATTTGGATCTGATACAAGCTAAATGAGAGGGACAATCTGATGATCGAGTGCACTCTGGTCGACACCCTTCGTAAGGATTACCGATATACTCGGGTGAGCATGTGCAAGAGCTAAGACCATTTTGTTCGCGACAAATAGCATTTGCTCCACATGGAGAAGGTTGACAGGGTCTAGGCGCGATTGTTGTTTCCGCTAAAAGAAATTAATGACGAATTTTAATCGATTATTAAGTTACGGAATTGCTTGATCTTGCCATTTCAAGACACTTACGTTGTCTAACGATGCACTGAACGAACGGATCTCCCGTAAAGTCTTTCGCGCAAATGCACGACGGAACATGATTCACAACGTGACATTCCGCGTTCGAGCCGCAAGAACCAGCGCAAGGATCTCTGCATTTACGTTCGATACATGCCAAGTGACTACTGCACTCGCTATTACTGATACATTCTGGCTTGCAATTTGGAGGAGTACCAATGAATTCTGGTTTACAGGTACACGATGGAGAGTTGTTAATCACTTGACAAATTGCGTTCGGACCACACGGTGATGGCTGACAGGGACTGGTCGGTTGCACGGGTTCTTCAGCTTTTAAAGAAGAAAAACCGAAAAGTTAAATTTCTCCCGTCTGTTCAAAGAGTCATTTTCAAATTAAATGATTCCAAAAGACACGTACATTTAGGTAAGCAACGTACGAAGGGATCGCCAGTGAATGCCGGAGGGCAGCTACAAATAGGATTATGATTGACCACCTGACATCTAGCTGTTACTCCACAGGATCCAGGACACGGGTCTCTACACTTGAGATTCACGCAAGCTTCGTTCAATGGGCAGTCGCTGTTAACGATACATTCAGGTCGACAAGACGGAGGGTTTCCTATGTAACCAGGGACACAGGAACAGACTGCCTGTCCACTGATGTCTTGACACCTACTGTTTGGACCGCAGGGTGACGGGTTGCAGGGTTGTAATACTTCTGGGTCTGCATACAGAGTTTACAAGTAAATTTTCATTTTTATATAAAATATAATTCTAAAGTAATTTAAAATTTTTCTATAAAAAGCACGTTTCTGAACATCGTGTATTATCAAATTACTAAATCCTAAATAATAGCTTTGGTTTAAGTTTTTTTGAAATTATTATTTCAACACCTCAACCATTGAGTAACCATCATAAATCTCATCAAAATATATATAATAGAAATTGAGTATTGCCGATCGAATTTACCTTTTATTGGGAAACAGGCTGTGAACGCGTTTCCTGACATGCCATCTGGACAACTGCACATGGGAGTGTGGTTTATCACCACACACTCGGCATTTTGTCCACACACACCAGTACAAGGATCGAAACACTTGTTACGATTGCAAGCTCTATCTAGAGGACAGTCTGGGTTCTGAACACATTCTGGCCGACATCCGTAATATGGATCGCCGCGATATTCTGGCAGACAAGTGCATATACCATCGCGACAGAGTGTGTTTGATCCGCATGGTGAGGGGTTGCAGGCGTCTTGGGGTGCTGGTGGTGAAGCTAGCAGGAAAGATATCATTAAATAAAGGATGAAACTGTCGGGAAGAATACTATTAACCCTTAAGTGGTATCGAGTCAGTGGTAGGATCACAGATGATTATGGTAATTTGTATCATATTATAAAAATTTTAATTTTTAAAAGTTTAATTTTATTTTGTATTTAATACTCTCCTTAGATGAAGATGAAATAAAAGTTCCGAAATGAAACTGAAATTTTTATAGCTTCTAACGTTCTATGATACCAATTAGGAGTTAAACCCTTAGCTTTAAAAAAATGTCTTGATGTTTCGCTTCTGTAAAATTTGAAAATTGATGGCTGATTCTTACGAGGAGACTCTAGGAAACAATTGGCAAATGGATCGCCTGTGAATCCTCGGGGACAAGTGCACACAGCCATATGGTTTACTACTAGACACTCTGCTCCAGTACCACAGGAGCCTGGACAAGGATCTGTACACTTTTGCCTGAGACAAGCTCGGTTGCTGGCACATTCAGAATCGATAGTACATTGTGGTCGACAGTTTGGTGGAGTTCCTATATAATTATCCATACAGGTACAGCTTGGTAGGTCCGCATTTCCAATGACACGACACACGGAGAACGGACCACAGGGTGAAGGAACGCAAGGATTTACTGGTTCTGATACCACTAAAGAAAAATATTACTATTTAGAATATACTATTATTTTTTTTATGAAATATTGCACTTTGATATATTTTTGACAATCGGTTTTAATGCATTATTTATTTTCTATGAAGTTTTTTAAATCATATATTATTGTTTTAATTTCTATTTTAATTTCAATTTAATTTAATATTTAAGTCTAATTTATATTGTGTATGGAATTCAAGCTATCATTATAGATGTTATAGAATGTAGATATTATAGATGTTATAGAAAAGTAACCGAAAAAATACAAACGTGCAGAAATGCTACAAATAACTAAAAATATAATAAATATAAGAGTATTAA